GGGGGAAGACATCATAAGGCTTAACTCTAAGTACCTATGTTTTATTTATTCTATTTGATCCAATTATCCTTTTCTTACCACATACAAAAGATATCTTGCATCGTTTGTGACATTTACTTGCACCAGTTTAGAGATGTGTATTTTAAAATGCATTTTTGTATTTCAAAATTTGACAGGACAAGGAATAACGGATTTAAACTAAAGAAGAATAGATTTAGACTAGACATTAGAAAGAAATTTATTAAAAATGAGGGTGGTCAAGCACTGGAACAGGTTGCCCAGAGAGGTGGTAGAGGCCCCATCCCTGGCAACATTCAAGGTCAGGCTGGACGGGGCTCTGAGCAACCTGATCTGGTTAAAGCTGTCCCTGCTCACTGCAGGGGGGTTGGGCTAGGTGACCTCTAATGGTCCCTTCCAACCCAAAGCATTCTATGATTCTATGAAACGTGATGACTGCTCCCACAATGTGAAATTAGGCTTCGTTGTGACCATCATCACTGAGGTAAACCACTCGCATCCCAAACAATCCTTCACTGAATAATAAGAAAGTGAAGACATAGAAGCCACCTCCCCAATCACTCACTGCTTGGTAAGCTGATAATAATCTATAATGAAATATATGCTCTAGGGTAAGCCTGCGGTGGAACCCAAAAGGTCCTCTTCCGTGTTCTTCCTCTCCAGTAGCTGCAATTGTGACTGATTTGTTTCGGATAACTCAAAGTGGGGAGATGATGTGAAAATCCCAAACGCCTGAAGATACACCTTTTTAAAACAACTACCAAAATGGAAACACTTCTGTTTGCATTTTGTCTTTTCTTGAAGCAATAATGTAGAAGGTAAACCTCTTGGAACCACACAACATCCCCTCACCCCCACCCCATATTTGCTTGCTAACACAAAATTAAAACAGTTCCTAGATTTGTCACTCTCTTCCATGAATTATCTACAGTTCATCATAGCCTTTTAAGATAAAAGGGGTTTTTTGGCTGTTTGTTTTGGTTTTCTGCATTTGGCTTCCTGTGCTATGGCTCAGTGGCACAAGGCCATTCTCTTCCATGTCTACAAACATTTCAGATTTATCCCTCTAGTTCTACTTCTAAAATCTACCTCTAATATCCCTTCATCAGTATCCCTCCTATCTCCTGCTTACAAGTCTTCTCTCATTACTCTTGCTCTAGAGTTGCCTCAGATCTTAACAGAACTGTAAGGATCAGTTGATTTAAGAACAGTTTGAAGCATGAAGATGATCTGCAACTAAGTACCATTAATACAGTTTAAAAATAAGCTAGTACAACTACCTAAACCCAGTATAATTTTGGCATAGCAGGGAACAGTTCTGCCTTAACAGAAGTTAGTAAAGTAATTATTTTTTTCCTGTCAAATTGATTGTTTTGAGTTTATTTTAGCTTACTAGAAGTTTGAACATGACAGCTCACGTTACCATATACCTGTTTAACTCTGTCCATAGCAAACCCAAAATCCCTCCCAGGGGCTGTTAGGATGCTCAGTCGGAAGAGTTCCACAGAGCAGGGCCAGCTCCTCATGAAACATTTTGCTATATATAATCTGAATAGAATACATTGTTATATAGCCAGTATCTCCCTTGGAAGTCTTTTCACATATGATTTTTTAGGAAGCTTGAGAGCCAAAGCCACTCAGAGATGACAAAATTTAGTTGCTGAGGTTGCTGTCTGGAAGGCTGCACTTTAAAACACTAACAGCTCCAGGCTAGAAAGGGAAGGGGAGTCTGGAGAAGAGAGTAACGACAAGCCTGCTATGCAATCTGTAGTTACATGTGCAGGTTAAAAATAATCAAATTGATCTGTTCCATTATGTTTGTTTATTGCTTACATCTAAAGAAAAAAAAAGAAAAAATAAGAACCCCATAGTAACTACTTCAAGAACAGCATCCAACAACCAAATGCTAACACTGAGTGGTGGGAGACTATGTCTCATTATACAAAGTTGACAAATAGCAAACCAAAGATGAACAGACTCAAACAACAGGAGAGAGAATCTTAAAAGTATTGTTATCTTAC